CTTTGGGAACTTTGATGAGGGCAAGGTGGGCTCCAGTCAGACAGGTGTGTGTTCCTTCTTGCTTGGAGCCTGAGGTTCATGGAAAAGAAACCCCTCAAGACAAGAACAAACATCAACATGTTATCTATGGGGGAGAGAAATGATCTAATGAGTCTTATGTTCAGGAACAGTGTAGAGTCATCCCGTCAATTCAGTGAGCTATTTTTTTAAGAAGTTTATTTGCAATCATAAAAGTGGGGCAGGAAGACTTTAAGCCAAGAGACAGAGGCTGGGAGACTAGAACTTGATGGCTTCTAGTGTTCGCATCAAAGGCACTGAATAGGGCTTGGTTTCAGTACTGGATGTACCCCATGCGTTTCTGAGCCTTTCTGTGGCCAAGTCTATCTTGCTCTGCTCCCAAACCCTCTTCTGATTTTTCTGTTACTTTGTCCTTAGACTTACTACAGGGCTCAAATGGTCCCTTCTTTGGTGCCTTTTTACTTTCATCCCTTGAGGGGCTAAAGGCAGTATTTTTTATTCTGCAAAACAGAAGAACATTACTTGCTAAGAGAAGCTACTGCAGGAGGTGTGTCTTCTAAAATTATGTCATCCCCAAAATTTCGAGTTGTGGAGAGGATGCTTTCCTATGAGAGAATAAAACGTTCACAGAAGAAGAAACAAAAATAAAGAAAATGAGAGCTACATATCTAATTTGCTTCCTTATTTACACTAGCTTCCACAAAGACAAGATTTAGGTTTAACATTCAAGTGGAACAACTACCTTTATACCAAGTTTCTTGTGGAATAATTTCCCTACATATCTGAATATATTCTGATTATTTTTCTGAATCAAAAAGCACTTAACTTGAAGTGGTTTTTGTTTACATATGTAGTCAGTATGAAAAATCTAAGTACATTAAACAGAAGATTTAGGGCATATTTTCATATGGGATTACACCATAATTTGTGATTTTATTATATTTTCTCAAGCCCATGCTTCAAAAGGAATGTTAAAATTATTAGTTTTTCCATTCTTCTCCTCCCTCGCTTATTTTTCTTTCCCACACAACAGGCTGAGTTGGCTGAGACAGGTCAGCTAAGCTGCGCTAAAAACCCTCCACTCTCAGACCTCCAAGGGTAATAAAGGACAGGAAGACATGGGGAGGGCCAGACAGCGAGAGTGTGTAGGACAGGGGATTTGCTTTTTGACGGACAGTTTGCAGACACCTGGTTTATAGTGCTCTCAAGTCATGAGGCTTACGTTTTATAAGTGGAGAGTCTCACGGGGGCTAACTGACTTGCTCTGTCTTATGTTTCTGTTTGGAGATGTTCATGTCATCACTCCCTGAAATCTCCTCTTCGTCTTTCTTCTCCTGGTTATGGATACCTGCCTGGGTATCTGCTTATCCACCCACTGCAGAAGCTTAGGAATCTTCTGCTTTCTTCTCTCTTACTCCCTGCTTAATCGGGTTTGCTTCCAGCTCATTCTGCATTTGTGATAACTTGTGCCTTCCTCTCTATTCCCATTGCTGATGCTAAAGTCTGGGCTCAAATGGTTCTTGCCTGGGACAATTTCACTAATCTCCTTGCCAACATCTCTGATTCCAATTTTCTCCCCTTCCAAACATTCCCCCCGTGTGTTTGTGATATCTCTAAATGGCAAATCTGATGTCATTTCTCTTAATGCACTCCTTTGCTCTCAAGAGATTTTTATGCCTTTCTTCCTCTACAGTATTATCTCTCTTTGCTCTCCCCATGTATCCTACGTACTAACCACACCAAATACTCCCACGTTCTTGAGTAGTCACAAGTTTTATGATTCTAAGCTCTATCTGTTGTTTTGGCTCTATCTAGAAAGTTCATCTCTTCCATGGTGAACTTCTTTTATGTTTTTATTTGAAAAGCAGAGACAGAGAGAGAGATATTTAGAGGGAGACATAGTAGAAGGCGGAGATCTCCCATCTGCTGGTTCACTCCCCAAATGTCCACAATAGCTGAAGCCAGGAGCTCAGAACTCAATCTGGGTGTTTCACATGGGAAGTGGGGACTCAAGGATTGAGCTATCACCTGCTGCCTCCCAGGGTGCTCACTGGCAATGGAATTGAACCCAGGCACTCTGATATGGGATGTGGGCATCAGAAGTAGTATCTTAACTGCTGCACCACATGCCCATCTCTATTTCAAGACGTAACTTGAATTTCTCCTCTTGTTTTCCTTTACTCTGTTCTTCAAAGTATTGGTTACACCCTTTGTTTTACTGATCTACTTTGTAGATAATTTATACAATGTCATTTGCCACACTATGACAGGGGTTTTGGCTTTTTTTTTTTTTAAAGATTTATTTATTTGAAAAGCAAAGTTACAGAGAGAGAAGGAGAGACACAGAGGGAGAGAGAGACCTTCCATCTGCTGGCTCACTCCCCAGATGACCGCAATGGCCAGGGCTGGGCTGGGCAGGGCTGAAGTCAGGAACCAGGAGCTTCATCTAGGTTTCTCACATGGGTGGCAGGAGCCCAAATACTTGGGCCATCTTCAGCTGCTTTCCCAGGTGTATTAGTAGGAGCTAGATTGGAAGTGGGGCAGCCTGGACTTGAACTGGTGCCCATGGATGTCAGCCATACAGGTGGGGCTTTACCCACTATACCATTCCCCCAGCTATTTGGTTTTATATTTGACAAAATGACTGGGCTGTGTTTTCCCTAAATTTACAAAGCTCGTTCTTGTTGCAGTACTAGTGTTTAGTTCTAATAACACTTTTGATTATTGAATGGATGTTTTTATTTCCTCCTTAAAGTCAAAAGTTTATGTTACCTGTTAGATATCTTCAAAACTAAAACAAAATGGATAAAAGGTGTGTATGACACTAGGGACAATGGGCTGCCTCACTCTTTATCCAAGCAGGAAGGCAGGTCATGCTTCAGCATGTAATCAGAGTTAGAACAGACTTGCAAATAGCTTCAAGAAACATTCAGCTCTGTGCTTTCTCTTTTGCAACAACTACTAGGTTTTCCTACCTTTAAAAGTAGTCATAGTGGCTGGAGAGGGCAAATTACCCTTCCTCCTGTGGGCTTTGAACAAGAATAAATGATCAATTTTATTTCAAGTACAAAACTTAGAGAAGCCAACTTGGGTGGCTTGACAAAATCAGCCTTCCTGCTTCACATCTGCCTTGAACTTGGCTTATCTGCCTAGACCTGGAAACCGTGGGCAACAGGAGCTGAGCTTGGGGTGCTAGGCTCACTAAATGGGCAAAAAGCCTTGGGCAACCTGGAAAGCGAAGATGAGGCAGCCGTATACGGGCAGTAACCTTTGACCACCTTGCCAGAAAAGGGAAGACTAGAGAATGAATCGGATGCAGCCTCAGGGGCTCACAGACCAGGGGAGGAGAGTCTAGGGTGACACAGGAGCATGCCCTTTTCAATAGTCCTGAGAGGGTTTGTTTCTACATAATGCATCAACAGAAGTGCCAGAGACGGGGGATGGCTCTTCCCAGTGTCACACAACCGATCAATCTCTTAAACTCAGAGTTCCGGGACCACAGATATCTTGGTCCAGGCCATTTTCATCTTCATGGGTAAGGTCTTGTAATTTATCATGCCTCAGTTAAATATAGTGACTCTGTTTTCTTTGACCTCATTCATCATTTTACCATGATGATGGGTAGATCAATGCATGCACCTGGCATGAAAGGCATACATGTTAATAACACCGAAGCTTAATGCTAAAGGAATTGCTAATCTGACCCTCAGGTGTGGGAGCTCTGATGGCAAGAATGACTCCCTGTGGATTACTATGCAGCACGGTAGAGCTTTTGCTGCCATTTATGGAGTGCCCTGGACCATGTCATCTCACACCAGGTCGGCCTACAACCGCACATCTTGATGACCATACAGAGCAGTCATCAGCCTGTACAGCATGTACTGTGAGTCCAGAGACGCCTGTGACACACCATGCTAGTTCTGCACACTTGGGCTCTTCTGCCCTCACGTCCAGCCCCGCCCTCGTAGTTAATGATCCACATGATGCTGTCAGTAGAACTGACCTAAGAAAAATTCTTTGTGGAGCTCTGATCTCCAATGTATTAATTTACAGTTAGATTTATTTAGCTCTGGCTTAATTTATTCCGGGTCTGTTGGTTTGCATTTGTTTTCACGGCTAAATGTGCTCCTTCAAAACTGCCATGGTTTAACTTTTCCAGTTTTGTATATTATATGAGAGTACTTCAGAGAGCTCAGGGAAAAGTGAAGGTAAAAGATAAGTTTAAGGCCGGCGCCGCGGCTCACTAGGCTAATCCTCCGCCTAGTGGTGCCGGCATACCGGGTTCTAATCCCGGTCGGGGTGCAGGATTCTGTCCCGGTCGCCCCTCTTCCAGGCCAGCTCTCTGCTGAGGCCCGGGAGTGCAGTGGAGGATGACCCAAGTGCTTGGGCCCTGCAACCCATGGGAGACCAGGATAAGCACCTGGCTCCTGCCTTTGGATCAGCGCGGTGCGCTGGCCATGGTGGCCATTGGAGGGTGAAATAACAGCAAAGGAAGGCCTTTCTCTCTGTCTCTCTCACTGTCCACTCTGCCTGTGCACAAAAAAAAAAAAAAAAAAAAAAAAAACAAAAAAGATAAGTTTACTTTGGTGTAAAGAAATTGTGAAATCCATTTTTTTTCCCAAAATACACACTTTCCATGAACTTTTTGAAGACTGCATATAATGGCAGGAAAGAAAAAAATAAATATGTAAAAAAAGAGAGAGTCATAGTCAAGAGGCAGCAATGCACCATGAACAGGTCATACTTCCACACAGCGGGTTCATTTTTCTCAATGAGACATGGTCTTCTAGGAAGCGAAGCTCTTGACTGATGCTCAGAGTCCCCTAGACCAATGTTTCTGAAACTAATGTGCACTGAACCACTTGCAGTAGGTCTGAAAGGGCGGGGGTCTCATATTTTGCATTTCTAACAAGCTCCCAGGTGATACTGATGATTGGCTAGCAAGAACTCAAGTTACCAAATCAAAGCACCAGCACCCCAAGTCATCACAATTAAGTTTATTCCACAGCATGTTTAAGGGAATGTTATTCTTAGGAAGATGTTTGGGATTAAAATAATTAAAAAAAAATTGAAAAGTACACACATTTATGTATCTCTTCTTTTCATTAAATATATATCTGTTTGGCAAAAAATGTTAGACTCTTTTGTACAAAAACAAAAGGAAAAAGAAAAACAACAAACAAAAAACAAACTGAACCCCAAACCCTTGCAGAACGTAAATACCTGTAATAATTACAATGATGTAAACTTGGATGTCTGGACCATCCTGCGGACCTGTGTTGCACCAGGACCCTTCAGGAGAAGGTCACACCAAACCCTCAGAGAGCAATGCCTGACGGAGAGGCTTTTAGGTTTAGTCTATTAGAGATGGAGCATAACTACTGATTTCACCATTTGTGCTTTCAGCTAAGAGGCTAGGAGCGTGTGTGGAAATGAAGAAGGCAGGTCTGGGCTGGGGCAGGGAGAGGAAACCCAAGACTAGCTAGTGCAGAGGGAAGGTTGGTCACGGTCACAGTGCAGACGCGAGGTTAGCGTGGGCCCTTGTCCTGTGGGCTGTCTGGGAGAGCCAGTGCTGGCGAGGACTATGATGAGGCTGCTGCTGCTGCTGCTGCTGCTGTTGCTGCTGCTCTTGGGACCAAAAGGACCAGGGCAAGGTCAAAGTCGGGATGGAGGAGAGAGTTTTGAAAGCAGTTCTCAATTCTAATGGAACTGGTAGTGTGAGTTGACCCTAGAGAGAAGGAGATGGAGGATGTGGTGTTTGGTTTGTCTTCTCATCGAGCAGCTAGGCTGCCTCCTGTGCACCTGCCCTTGGTGTGCAGGACAAGTCTGGGGGCAGTCTGGGGCTGCTGGTTTTCCTACTCCATGAAGGAAGAGGGGGTTCGGCTAGAAGGGCCCTTTTGCTCTCTTACTGGTGGTGACTTTTGCTCTTGTCCCACCACTGGACTGCAGCAACGGGAGGTGATCTAAAGCAGTGGAATCTAGAGACAGAGTCAGGGAGGTGAGCAAGACACCAGGCAGGGGCCACAAAATGCTGGGGCCAGAGAGGAGGCTGCGAGAAGTGTTGACCTAGAGCTTCCCTTTTCCAAAAGAGGATTCCTAGGCGTGGGCGTGTTTTCATTCCTCTCTCCTGTTAGCTAGATTTTCCAGTTTTGGAGGGGGGCGTGGCCAGGCCCCACCACTTCAGTTACAGTCATAGACAAAGTCGTAGTTGCTGGGCTCCTTGGGGATGGGCGGGGGTGCGTCGGGGATCTGAATGTTTTCCAGGTCCAGGAGGCGGAGCTTGATTTCCATGCTGAGCAGGGTGTCCAGGTCATTCCGCGTCAGGTCGCTCATCATGTCCTTCCCAAGCAGTGCATTCAACCCATCCGTCCAGATACAGTACTGGCAGGAGAAGGGGGCGACAGGGATCATTACTGATGGCAGTGACAGCAGCTGTAAAAATAACTACCATTTAGTGAATACTTACTATGTGCAAGGCTGTGGCCTAAGGGCTTTGCCTACCATGTTCTGGCATATTCACAGCATTTCTGTGCACTTGGCACTTCTCTCATCATCTCTGTTTTACAGAACGGAGGCACAGAGAAGTTACTTACTGGTGACTCAGTGGTGGTGGAATGGGTGGGATCCGCACCTAGACCACCTGACTCCAGTGCCTATGCTCTTCCATGCAAGAATGGAAGACTCGAATTCTGCACCACTCCAGCAATCTGTCTAACATCCCACCAGGGAGTCTGACTTAAAGGTATGATGGGATATGTCCCAACACTTCTGGACCCAAAGTTAGGCCACACTTGCTTCTTTCCTGACTCCAGTCGTGGTCCCTGTTCTAATGAGCTAGTCTCTGCCTGTCCCGTGCATCTAGGAAGTCTGCACCATGACAGCCACTTCCCACTCTGGAGCCAAAGGTAACCAGCTGTGCCTTTGAGCTTCTCAGCAGAGTCAGGAAGTAGCCCTCTGCCGCCTACTTCCTGATGGTCAAACTTACTGGGTACTCTTTTTTTAAAAAGAATTATTTATTTGAAAGGTGGAGCATCAGAAATGAAAGAGAGAGCGCGCTCTTCATTTCAATGGTTTATTTCCCAAATGGCTGCAACAGCCAGGTCTGGTGCCTCAGGTCTCTTGTTTATAAAATGGGGATAATACTATTTTGTTTCTTTTAGAGATAAGTAAAAACCAAGAAAGGTGAAATACACACAGCATTTAGTGGTGCCCAGCAGAGAGCAAGCTGGGCTCCTTGCAACTACTGTTATCCTTTATATCACTGACGCATACAGTTTTGGGAAGTCTCTCTCCCCTTCATGGGAGAGTATAAAACTAACTTTCTATTTTAGGGGACAGTGATGAAAATAGAATGAGGTGACAGATACAAAAGTGATCTGAAGAAGTCAAATGTATTCACAAGTGTCTGGTGTTTTCCCCCATATTGTATCAACAAGAAGTGGTACAAATGTGGCAGTCCCACAGCATGCATTCCTATCTGGACTTAGTGCACACTGAAAAAACAGCCTTGAATTGATTTAAGTAACACTAAAGTTTCCACTGTTTTATGTAGTTTTCTGTACAGCTCTATACATCTTGAACTCGGTGGCCTGTGCATAACCGCAATTTCATTTAAAAACAGAACAGTAGAATCGGCATCTATTTTGAGAACGATGAAGACAGAGTCTTACCCTTATGCAAATTAAATGTCAAATGACACTGAATTATACTTCAGGACCATTCTAAATGCAGGATTTGTATCTAATCTTTTCTCTTTCTTTGGGATGTACAATTTTATTCAAAAGCTTCAAACCAGTGAAAACCAGATAGTACTGAATAACTTCTAAATGAGCTAAATCTCCTAGGGGAAATTGGAAACAAAAGTCAGATTCTGTTAAAATGTTCCCTTTCTTTCTAAAAGCTGTTTATGCAACTGCATGCAAAACAAAAATTCGAGTGGTATTATCTAAAAATACAAAGTCTCAAGCACGATGCTGGGCTCTAGTTTACAAGAGAAAAAGTTAAATCAACCATAACGGGTACTTGATCTTACAAATTCATTTTCCTAGATGTATGCTAAATATTTTAAATGCAGCTGACTGCATGCTTCAGAAAGAGAAACAAATTACACTTATCACAAGATGTCAAAAGGCAATGAAAGCATCAAGAAAATAGAATCCCACCAGCAGACTGTATAAAATAGCTTTGAGGAATCTGGTAGAAAACCTCTTCATCAGATGTTTTGAGATATAGAGAACTAGTTTATCTGGAAATTAAATACTCAATGCAAACCAAAGCTCCAGCCAGGACCATCTTTTCAGCTGGGATAGCGATGACACCTTTGCTGGGCCTGGGGCATTTACACAGCTTTTTTTCTTTTCCTTTTTTTTTTTTTTTTTTGTTGACAGGCAGAGTGGACAGTGAGAGAGAGACAGAGAGAAAGGTCTTCCTTTGCCGTTGGGTCACCCTCCAATGGCTGCCGCGGCTGGCGCACTGCGCTGATCCGAAGGCAGGAGCCAGGTGCTTCTCTTGGTCTCCCATGGGGTGCAGGGCCCAAGCACTTGGGCCATCTTTCACTGCACTCCCGGGCCACAGCAGAGAGCTGGCCTGGAAGAGGGGCAACCGGGACAGAATCCGGCGCCCCGACCGGGACTAGAACACGGTGTGCCGGTGCCGCAAGGCAGAGGATTAGCCTAGTGAGCCGCGGCGCCGGCCAGCTTTTTTTCTTGAAAATGATCTTTAAGCTATTAAGAAACGGAACCTGTTGTAACAGTTTTTCTAAGAGATTTTGATTCTGTGACAAATCAACAAGATGGCTCTTTGTTCATGATTTTCTCAGACAGGCTTTTTTTCAAATGAAATTTCATCTTGCCAATATTCTTCCTTCTCCCTTTTCTGGAGAAGACATAACATTCTCTCCCAAATTAACTCCGCAGAGACCCTTACCTCATGCTTGTCAGGAGCAATGAAGTTCAGTTGGCAGTTGGAGTCATACAAGATGGAGAAAGCAAGTTCAAGCACCTCCTAGGAGAGATTCGAAAAAAAAAAAATCACGATAAGAAAAACTGGCACAATCCTTTCGGCAGTTACAATGGCTGCTGATTGGATGTGAAACAGACCGGGGTGGGGGGGGCGCGAGGAGGCTGACGGGAAGCAGGAGCATGCCTTCCGAGGCTCACAACGTCATCCCTTCTCTGCACTGAGGTCTGCGTGAGCCATCTCATTCAATTCTCACGCCAGTCTGTGCAGCAAGGATTACATCTAAGGGCAAGGCTTAGGGAGGGTCAGTGAGTTGTCTGAGACCACAGAGCCCCAGAGCTCTGCTGTTCTCCCTTCCTCAGCATCTGCCTTCCAGGGAGACCACGAAAGACAGCAAGGCCCTGCCAGTCAGCAGCATTGAGTGCTGCTTTACCTTCTACCACCCCAAAGAGAAAGAAGTCCCTGGGGGTGTGAACTCCCTGCAACGCAGGTAACGAGGCTCCCGGGGAACCCACCATCTCCATGCCTCTCCTTTGATTTTGAACTGCTGTGGAGTAAAGGCTACCCCAAATGCAGATTTTATACAGCGGAGACTGTGTGGTATCAGGGCAACGCATTGGCTCTAGGGACAGAATCCCTGAGCATCTGGTAAGTACGTAGGCCCCAGGGGGCTTGCATCTCATCACAGCTGATGCCTTGCCTTAGGCACTCAGTGTCACGTCTCACATGTGTTTTAAAACACACTTCTTAAATTGTAACTGCTGTCCCAAGGTTGGGCACAATGGTCATTCTACCTGTCTGGGCAGTCAGCAGGGATATTCCCGAAGAGGAGACTCATCAGCACATCTCCACACCCTCGCTGGCTCCTGGTCAGGCCTCAGCCTTGCTTGAACACGTGTGTTCTGGCACACCTGCCTCCTCTGTGCTGAGCGCCCCTCTCCCCTGCTGCAACCTGGGCACTTCACTAGTCAATAATTTCCCATGAAGCTTTCTTCCTTAGGTAGCCCGATCTCCCCACACCACTCTCTGCTTCAATATCTGTCAGAAGATTTGTCTTTGGCCAGTGACTCACAGCAAGTGTGCCCCAGAAAGACGATGGAAGGCAAAGAGAGGAGATCAATGCCTGCAGATTTTTGACGGATTAAAGACTCCTTTCCGGTGCTAGCTGGATGCTTCTTCCAAAGCAGCCCACACTGAGTTATTTCTGGCTCTCTCATAGAGTTAGCCTGTGTCTATCTGACCTCCAACTGTCTCCTCATTAAGCGGGAGCAGCTTCTGTTTTGAGGCTGGACCTTCCAGTGTCTCCCATTCAGACAGTCTCCTCACCCTGCCAGAAATAGCAACGGGTGAAGGACAGAATGCTGAGTCATGGGCCAGCAGCTACTCTGCAAAAATTCCCTCTCCTCTCTTCCTTATGCCTCCAATTAGGCCTGCCCAGTGTAGATCATAATGTGATAAGGAGGCTCACCCAATTTTCCATCAAAGTTGGCCTCTGTTTCCAAAAACATATTGCTTGGATCATTAAAAATATTTTGTTTTAAAATATTTTAATATTTAATGTATTTGGGAGGGAGAGAGGGAGGGAGAGAGAGAGAGAGAAACAGGGATGGAGGAGAGAGAGAGAGAAAAAGAGAGAGAGAGAGCGTGCGAGCATCTATCCATGATTCTTTCCTCAAATGTCTGCAGCAGCCAGGGATGGGACCGGGGGTGAAGTCAGGAGCCAGAACTCATTCAAGTCGCCCATGTGAGTGGCAGAAACCCAGTGACGTGAGCCATCACTGTTGCCAGCCAGGGTCTGCACTGGCAGGCAGCTGGAGAGGGGGAGCTGCAGCCGGGAACTGACTGCAGGCACTCTGAAGTGGGACATGCGCACTCCTCTTGAGTCACTGAATTCACAAGTAAAATGGGCATGGCCTTGCTACTAGTACCACACACTGGTATCATCCTTCAAAAAGAAAATCTCAAGAACCAGGCATCTCACTCCTAGGGTTATTGCTAAAAAAATTCAAAAGCAAGCATATATGATACATTTTTATCCGTAGGAAAATTATGAGAAACTAAATACCTTTCTTTCCTTTGGATATTGAAGAAGTCACAAATTGGCAACCAATAGAAATATAATTGGGCAGCTATTTAGTATGACAATTATTAAGAACTTATAGTAAGTCAAAGAAAGCAGGTGACATGAATACCATGTGCATTGTGATCACAATTATACTCAATGCCTACCTGTGGACAGAGACCAGAAGCAAATATGTGAAATGAAAATAATTATGTTGAGATGCTGGGATTCATAGGTCATTATCTCTTCCTAGGATTATTTTTCCAAAAAAATGTTATATTCTGTAATTTTATAAATTTAGAAAAACTGTTTTGAGATAATGAATGTTGGTATCAAGGAAGACTTCTTACTAATTTTAGAGTCATTCATTGGGGAAATGCTCTGACTAGAGAAAAAGGAGAGGATGAGTTACTTGTGAACAATGGGTCCAGGGGTTACCGCGGCATAGGGTCACCTGCTGCTTTGCTCAGGGAAACCAGGTGGCTGACCATCCACTTGGGATGACAGCTGACAGCCAGTGTGACCACCACTTTAGTTCAGATACAAGCCCTGGCCTAGGTACTGAAGTCACTGGAGCCGAGAGTGTCAGCATGATTGTCACTGTGACACCTTCTCTTCTGCAGGGGGCAGAGAAGAAAGAAAAAAGAGGGGGCTGTGCAAACTTCGGGTTTTGCCCTTCTATGATGTGTTCTGCTCGGGATGGGAATGATCAGAGCTGCCATGACCTAGATTCCTGATAAACACTGCAGGAAATGGGAAATTCGTGAGAATGTCAATCCCCACTTTAATTTCACCAAGGCTGCCTGGGAGGGGGTGGGAGGAATTAATTCTCTGAGCCACACGCCTGCGTTAAAGGGTGCTCTTATTTATAATGGGTTTTATTGATGTCTCCGGCTTGTTGTCATTGAGTTGCCGGTGGAGGTCAGCTCTTCAGCACTTGGAGTAGGGAGGCTGCAGAGCCAAGAGCGATGGCGCCTCTTGGGCTAACACTGCAGAAGCTGCCACCTGCCCAAACTCCGTGAGGGAGAGAAGTGCCAGGTGGCGGTGGAATAAGCTGTCAGGAACTGGGTCAACGTCCCCCTCTGGGGCTTCCTGCTGCACACCACAACAGTCATTGTTAGCTCTGGGGCTTTGCTGCTCACTACTGAAGGTCTTTTATTCACTCTGGACTTAATGCAGTGAACACTTTTATTCAAGGAGCAGCTTCTCCTTATCCTCTGTACCACTGAGTCCCACCTACCACCTTGCCCTGGGGAGAAAGACCTGGATGCACTGGGTTCTGGAGAGAGGGGAGGCTGGAGGAGCAGCCCTCTAGGCCCTGGAGCCTCTGACCCCTGGACTCAACCATCTGGCTGGGGATGCTCAGAGAAATGACACCTTGGTTTGGGGGTCTGCTGTCCTCTTGGGTCAAATGACAGACTGACAATACAAGAGCACAGTTTTCTGTAGCAATGTTATCAGTCTACAGTTATACAGTGCTGACTGCTGTTCTTGGATTGGGCTAATTTACCACATTTGGCATTAATGCCCAGCATTCACCTAACTATGCTGGTTCTTCGTCTATCCAGGTCATCTTGTAGGTAAAGTATTTTGATGAGAGATGCAGGATAGGTTTTGGCATGTGTGTGGGCACTAAATGGCTACAGAAATAGTAGATTTCATAGCTTCGCACAACGTTACCTATATTCTGCTATATTTGAGTTTCTATTTTAGAAGACAAAAATCTCTCATTCATAACATAATAGGGGACTTGTTCCTTAAGCAGCTACAACTTCCTGGTCCCAATCTATCTTAGCAGCATTGCCGGCCAATAGTTCTAGTTCCCTACCCTTCTCTCTGTCCCTGTCTTTTCTACATATGAAGTCCATTGTTTTGGGGACAGCTGTGGCGCAGAGGGTTAATCTTCCGCCTGCAGCAACAGCATCCTATATGGGTACCAGTTCTAGTCTCAGCTGCTCCTCTTCTGATCCAGCTCTCTGCTATGGCCTGGGAAAGCAGCAGAAGATGGCCCAAGTGCTTGGGCCCCTGCACTCATGTGGGAGACCAGGAAGAAGCTCTTGGCTTTGGATTGGCCCAGCTTCGGCTGTTGCAGCCATTTGGGGAGTGAACCAGCTGATGGAAGACCTTTCTCTCTGTCTCTCCCTCTCACTGTCTGTAACTCTACCTCTCAAAATAAATAAAAATAAAATCTTAAAAAAAAAGGAATCCAATGTTTCCCAGTCAGAGGGTGTTCTTTCACATGTGTGTATCTTTTCACACACTGTTGCTCCCTGGAAAGCCTCCCTTCCCTTCCCCTTTCCCCTGGCCGATTCCTTCCCATAGACCCAGCTGGGATGCTATTGCCTCCAGAAGCCTTTCTCAATACTCCTAGGCTCGGGGCTGGTGCTGTGGCGCAGCGGGTTAACGCCCTGGCCTGAAGCGCTGGCATCCCATATGGGCGCCGGTTCATAGACCTGGCTGCTCCACTTCCAATCCAGCTCTCTGCTAAGGCCTGGGAAAGCAGTAGAAGATGGCCCAAGTCCTTGGGCCCCTGCACCAGAAGAAGCTCCTGGCTCCTGGCTTTGGATCGGCGCAACTTCAGCTGTAGTGGCCAATTGGGAAGTGAGCCATCAGATGGAAGACCTCTCTCTCTCTCTCTCTCTACCTCTCATCTCTCTGTGTAACTCTGACTTTCAGTTAATAAATAAATAAATCTTAAAAAAAAAAGTTCATGGAAAGTCAAATTAAAAGGTAAATTTATTTTAGTGCAAAAGTGTTTTAAATCCACATTGTTTTTCACAATATGTATTTCCATGAACTTTTTGAAGATAACTTACACAGAAATCTTAACTGTTGGACACCTTGAATCAGGGACCAGGCCATATTTGTCTTTGGATGCCAGCAGCTGGCACAAAGAAGATGATCCATACACTTACTGAGCAAATGAATTAATGAAGTAAATCGGCGTAAATGGCAGTTTGTTTCAGGCCTGGGTTTAAAGCTGATGCTAGATCGTTGCTTCTGGTAGACTCTTCTACTTGTTTCAGGTTCAATAATCTTGTGATAAGAGGCCCAAAACTCATTTATCTGTACATTTATGTGCATTTCTTGGTATGTATACTCTAATTCAATAAAATGTGTAAAAAAAGAATCCCACTGGGAAAACCAAAGCAGGATTCTGGCACGTGAGGAGCTGAAAGCCTCTCTTAGACCAAATGCATTCCTTTCCGGACCAGCGGGGTCCAGTGAGCTCTTCCCTCGCGGGGCACAGGCTGACCGTTTACAGGCCTCAGATTTGGTGACACAAGGACCAAAAAGGCTCGACTGAAAACGCACAGCAACAAATGAACTTATTTTATAAGTTATAGAGCTTTTTCAGAATTCTTAGAAATCAAAGTCGTCCAGTTGAATGGCTATCAACCACGAAAATTCTTTTCATTCTCATTCTGGAATTTTCTAATCTCTCCATGAAAAATCTGGAATTCTGTGTCAACAGAAATGTGCCTGCTGCACTGACCTGTGTTTCACACATCAGACTCTAAGTCCCAGGAGGCCGGGGCCCCATCTGGCCTGTTCACTACTCTATGTCCAGGGCTCATCCTGTCTCGGCTGCTCCAGTGCTGATGAACAATATTTTGACCATAAACACACATGCCACTGTGGTAAACACCTCGAGAGAAAGGAGCAGTCCTCTCGCTCTTTCTGTTCCCAGACTCATGCTGAACAGGAGAGAGGACCCTAAGTGTCCAAGCCTCTGTTGTTAATCAAGTGACTCCTTCAATGCTACTGTCTCAGGCTGCCTTGCTCAGGGAGTAGTCAGCCAAGAGTCCCGTGGCACAAGAATGAATGTCAGAAGCTGCTCCCCAGCTGGAAAACCCATCTGGAAAAACTCAGAGCCTGAGTTTCTGCCCACCCAGCCTGTGCTGACAGATCTCCGATGGACACATTTTGGTCAACTCTCCTTTCAAGCTGTAAGTCTCATCTTTTCTACCCAGATGAACCAGAGGCAGAGGAGGAAGTCTCTGCAGTACTGGGAGAAGGGGTGTGGGCGTGGGAGGTAGAACTGGGCCTTTCTTTCTGCCTTTTGATGTTCTGCCTGATGCACTAGGAATACGTGTGAATACTATTAATCTTACAAGACAAATACTTTTCATGTATATGTACATGAAGGAGCCAGGATGGTGCAGATGTTGCCACTCTCACCCTTCAAGGCAGAACAGAAGGAATGGGGTGGCTAGAACATCTGGGCCAGTCTCCCAGCAGTATTCTCCATTTGTAGTCTCATGTACCTATTTCAAGTGATATGTGCCATCCATCAATCAATGATTCATCCATTTTTATCCATCCATCTATTCATTTATTAATCTGTCATCCATCTAATTAAAATATTTATTTATTCAAAAGGTAGAGTGACAGAGAGAGAGAGGAGAGAGAGAGAGAGAGAGAGAGAGAGAGAGATCTGGTTTACTCCCCAAAATGCTGCGATAGACAGGACTGGGCCAGATTGAAGCCAGAACTCCATCTGGGTCTCCCATGTGGGTGGCAGGGACCAAAGTTACTTGGGACATATTCTGATGCCTCCCAGGCACATTAGTAGGAAGCTGGATCAGAAGCAGAGCAGCTGGGACACAAACTGGCACTCCAACATGGGAGACCAGCATCACAACTGTGGCTTAACCTGCTGCACCACCATGATGGTCCCTCACCCAATATTTTATAAGTACAATGGCAAAAAAGGTTGGAAAGCACAATTTTTTCTGTTTGCAGTCTCCTTTAAGGAGAAAAAGTTACAAGAAGGCCAAATCCACCTACATGTATAATATGTTCAAATGAGATCATCATCTCCACACCTGTTTTGACAGTGATGACCTGTGCCTTCTCTTTTTTTCTTGGATAGTCAGCCTAATACATTTATAAATTTCTTCATTGTGTCAGTGAATCAGCTTTTGGTTTTACTGGTTTTCTCTACTGTTTTGAACTTCATGATTTCTATTCTAAATTTTATTAATTCTGTTCTTATGCTTGCTTAACTAAATTTCTCTTTATTGAGTGCTCTAAGGTAGAAATTTTAATGTACTTAGTACTATAAATGTCACTCTAAGTACATTCTAAGAGTGCATCCCATACATTTGGATAACATATTTTATTTCATTTAAAACTAAATAGAAATTTTGTGATTCCTCCTAAGACTTCTTTGAACTCTGTGTTATTTAGAAAGTGTTAAATTTTCAAACATTTTGGGGTTTTCCAGACATGTTTCTGCATTAATATCTAGTATAGGGGCCAGCATTGTGGCACAGCAGCTTAAGCCATGACTTGGGACGTCACTGCCATATTGGAGTACAGGTTGGAATCACAGCTACTTTGTTTCCAATCGAGCTTCCTGCTAATGTGACTGGGAACGCAGTGGAGGAGAGCTGAAGTTCTTGGGCCTCTGCCAGCCATATGGGAGACCAGGATGGAGTTCCTGGCTCTTGGCTTTGTCTTGGCCTAGTCCTGGCTGTTGAGGCCTTTTGGAGCATGAATCAGGGGGTGGAAGAACTTTCCCTCTCCCCCCACCCCTCGTTCCCTTCCTCCCTCCATCTCTCTGTTGCTCTGCCCTTCAAATAAATATTTAAAAATAATTTCTAGTATAATTCTGTTGTAATCTCAGGGCATACTTTGTGTGATTATTGTTCTTTTAAATTTGTTAAGAAGTGTTTTATGGTCCAGAAGTAGTCTCTCTGGGTGATTGTTTCCTGTGAGCTTGAGAAGAATTGTGTATTCTACTGTTGTTTGGTAGATTATTTTATTAATGTCAATTAGGTCAAATTGATTGATGGTGCTGTTCATGCCATCAATATCCTTTCTGAAATTCTGCTTGCTTGATCTATTGATCACTGACAGGGGGATGTTGAGGCCTTCAATATAATAATGGATTTTTCTATTTATGCTTTCAGTTATATGGGTTTTTAATTCATATATGTTGATGCGTTCTTCTTCAGCACACATATGTTTAAGATGTTATATCCTCTTGGAGACTTAGATCCTTGATAATTTTGTTTTGAAGATGGATTTGTCTGAAATTAATACAGGCACTTGCGCTTTCTTTTGAAAAGTGTTGGCGTCATTATTTTAAGTCTATCTTGATGTTATATTTTAAGTGGGATTATCTTCTGGTTATTTTAACCAGTCTGACAATCTTGCTCTTTTAACTGATGCGATTAGAGCATTTATATCCAAAGTGCTATTGATATAGTTAGAGTAATTGGACAATGTTTCTTACTCTTTCCTATTGCTTGCATTTTTCTTTCTTTTCCATTTTTTGCTTTCTACTTTTTAAAAACTGAGTATTTTATAATTATGCCTTATTTCATTTACCCATATGCTTTAATTAACCCAACATTCTTACTATTATTATTTTATTTCTATTTTTATTTATGGGAGAGAGAGAGAGAGAGAATGAGTGATGGCTGCTATCCACTGCTATTCACTCCCCCAAATGCCCACAGTGGCCAGAGCTGGGTTGGGCACAATCCAGGAACAGGAAACTCAAAATAGGTCTCCCATGTGGGTGGCAGGAACCCAATTATTTGAGCCATCACTGCTGCCTCCATGTGTTCATGTTAACAGGGAGTCAGAGTTAGGAGATGCTGGAGCCAGGTGTCAAACCCATCACTCAATATAGGATATAGGCATCTCAATGGGCATTTTAACCACTAGGTGAAAAGCTCACCCCATTATCATTATTTTTAACTAAGAGTAGTTATATTAAAGATGGATTAACAATAAGAAATCAATATTTTCATTTTATCTTCATTTATTTTTTTCTCCAAACTCATTTTTCTTTACATGGATCCAGGTTTCTGACTGATATCATTTTCCTTTCGGCTGAAGCAATTCTCTCAACATTCCCTGCAGAGCATGTCTGCTGGCAAGGAATTCCCTTGGGTTTTGTTCATCTGAAAAAAGATCTTTAATTTTCCTTCATGCTTGAAGGGCAATTTCACTAGATATGGAATTCTGTGCTGATTGTTTTTCTTTTTAACACTATAAACATATCACTGCATTCTCCTCTCGCCTGCTTAGTTTCGGTTGAGAAGTCCACCCTAAGTCTCATCTTTGTTCTTCTATGGATAATGTGTTTTTTCCCTCTGGCTCCTTTCAAGATTGTCTTTTTAACTTTGGCTTTGTTCAGTCTGAACATGATATATCTAGGTGTGTTTTTTTTTTTTTTATAGTATTTATCCTCCTTGGTGTCCTTTCAACTTCCTGGATCTATGGTTTGATCTCTGTCGTTAATTCTGGAAAGTCCTTGGCCATTATTGTTTCAGTATCTCCTCTGCTCCGTTCTCTTTCTTCTCTGGTCTTCCAATTACATGTATGTCATAACTTTCACAATTGTCGCATAATTCTTTGATGTTCTGATTTATTCATCTCTTCTTCTCTTTGTATTTTAGTTTAGGAGTTTCTACCAAACCATATCCAACCTCACTCACATATTTCCTCAGCCACCTCAAGTCTACTGATGGGTCCATCAAAAGCATTTTTCATTTCAGTTACAGTGTGTTGCTCCCCCTCTTCGTGGAGGAACGACACAGGGCCTTGCGCTGTTCTTTTGTCTGCTCGGCCCTTCCCGGGTTTGCTGCTGGTTCTTCCCGGGTTGGCTACTGTCCCTTCCACCTCCGTGGAAGGGCGGTGCCCCCTGCCACTTTTCCCACTTCCGCGGGGGAGCGGCACACCGCCGGCCGGCTCTCTCGGGGGCTGCACAGGTGTTCCCTCAGATAGATGTTCCTGGTGCATGTTGTCTCTCTCCTCCTTTATAGTCCTCTTCTGCCAATCCCAACTCTGCTACCCACACGCCGAGTACTCTGCTCTCCTCCAATCAGGAGCAGGATCAGCTCCTGCAGGTCATCACTCAAGTTGGCGAGAGACAGCTGCATAGAAGCTATTTACTCCTCTCCCAGCACCATATTGTGGGAGAGCAGATGCATAGAATAAGTCTTAATTCCAGTAACTTAGTCTAGTCCGAGTTGCTCCCCACACAGTGTTTCTGAACTGTAGACTTTCCTTTTGACTACCTGTTCTTGCATGATGTCTCCTTTCTTCACTAGCACCTGTCATATTTCTAATCACAACTATTTAAAAATCTCTGACAATTTTGATTTCTGTGTCATACTGGAGTCTACTTCTCACGACTACTTTGTTTCTTCGGACTGTGTTTTTCTCTTACTGTTTTGGCATGCCTCTTTTTTTTTGTTGCAATCTAGACAGGTAATATCAGGTAACAGAGAGTGAGGTAAATAGGCCTCTAGAGAGACGATTTGTATTAACCTTGCAGTGATCTGGGCTGTATTTATGTTTACTCCAGTGGCAAGTGCCACAGGCTTCAGACAGCCCTGGTCTCATTGTTTCTTTTCTTCGACTAAGTATTCTTCTTTAGAGAGTGTCTCTTGTCTCTGAAGTTCATTCAGCTATAATCCACTGCCATTAGTTTTGCTAGAGTGGTGGTAGGGCATGGGAGAGGTTCAGCATCCTAGAATCTTCCACTGAAATCTTGTGTCCTGGGGCTGTCATCTTCTCAAGAGTTTCCCCAGTAGGACAGATTTACTGCCATGGCTTATTCCCTTTTACCTTGGCTCCAGTTTCCCATCGTTTCCTTGACAGCCTGAAGGCTATTTACTATGTCTCCCTCACCTCCAATCCCACGGTTGAGACAGGAAGGCCAACACAATCTGGAATGGGAGCAATTACTCTCCTAACTGGGATAAAGGCCTGGAACACAGGACATTATAATGGAGAAGGCACTGACATATTTCATAGTCAGTCTTCTTCACCTCTGTCAGAGTCCCAGGTGGGAGTCTCAGATCTCCACTGTGAGAACCTCCTTCTGGTGGGTAAAGCCGTGAAATGGTGCCCCACTCCAAGACTGCGGCCTCCAAGAGTTTCTTCATCTCACACTAGTCTACAGTGTAGACCACAGCCTACAGTGATTCATCAGAATTGCCGTAAGTGTTCCCACAATTCAGTGCTCTCGTGGACTGTGCTCTAGGTAAGCAGTTTGGCTGTGAGTCTCTGTGATGCATGACTCTCCTCGTTCCAGGGCGATGATTGGCCTGCAACTGAAGTCCACTGGTAGATCCAACACAAGGCTGCCTCACTGCCAGCTCCGACTGTCCTGGCCCTCTTGGACTTACAGATTCTTGTTGCTACCAATTTGCCCACATTGTTTCTTGCTCAGCTGCAAGTGTTATATAACGATGGGGACCTCGGCTAGAGCTGAGCTGAGCCAGTGCTCCCTGAGACTCTGGAGGGACACGGACATGCTGAGCATATGGCAATCCCTGCTGGTGTTGCGGAAAATCTGCTCCACAAGAGGCAGACGATGGCAACTGGAGCCTTGCTGCTACAGGGAAGGATGCTCCTCTGGAACCTCATGGGCTAGAGGACCACTGAGTTCCCCATCATAGAGAAGAGACAGGGGAAACTTCCTGGTGCTGTAACAGAGAGCCTGGGTTCCAGACAAGCCCTTACATCATTACCATTGTCATGTAGGTGCATTAAGTCCTACATGTGTGACACTGGAGTACAGGCAGGTTGTATTTATGTAACTTAAGAAGCACAGATTTCAAAGTAGCCTCCTTGGCTGTGTCCTCCCAGTCCTCTCATCCAGAATAGTACTATCACGGTCATTTTGCTTTTCTTTAACCACAGATAGGGCCAGCCTGACAAGACCTGGACTCAACCCTGTCTTAGAATGTTTGAAGTTATAGACCAGGGGCTATTTATTTTAACCCTGATTGATAAGTAGGATGCACATTATTTTGGTTTTCCTCTTAGATACTGATGCTGGACATACAGAATAACATATTGATCTGTGTGGCATTCAGGGTATCAAGGCATCTGGAACATCCAGATAAATCTGTATCCATGGATGGTATATATCACAAGGTGCCAGGAGATTTAAACAAATCCCCCAGAGGCAAATACCTGTAAACGAGTGTCTAAGGAAATTCTTCCGTCTTCCTGGATAATGCTCTCCTACTCCTTTGCCCCCCAACACTGCACCTTTTCTGACAGAATGTGGACTGTCATGGTGACAGCAGTTGGTAAGTCAGAAGGGGATGATAAGTGTTGCAAAGTGAAGGGTGCTTTACAGCACCCACATTTTGGAAAATTTTTTCCTTTAAGCCAGGTCTGAGACTGCAGTCTACTGTCCATGGTCCTGAAGGACATCAGACCCTTAGGTTTTCTAAGATTGCTTTAATCAGTTGATATTTGTCTGTCCCAAGCAGCAAAGAGACAGTAGGGAGGCTAGAGTGGGGATGATTTTAGCCAGAGGAAATGAAAGAGATTGGAGTGGGAGAAGGGAAAGGTGAAATGGACACCAACAAGAGATTGGGGTAGGCCCAGTGAATGGTTGGAGGTAATTAGAGGAGGCTTTAGACAGCGGACAGCACAGCTCCTAGGGGTGGGTGGAAGTAGACAGGAAGTGGGAGAGTGGAAGAGACAGTGAGCCTTTGAAAAATGGTCAGGGAAAGAGTAAGGGTAAAATATGCAAAATGAATCAGGAAAAGTGAATGGAAAACTGAGTAACAGATGTGCAACTGTATAAACACACATGCACACACACACACACACTGCTATAAAGCAGGGCCATCAGATTCGCTGACTGCACTGTGCAGACAGAGCTATTTGCAATAATTTTGAAATCATACCTTGTTTTGTTTAAGGGCACCTTTCTCTTTCATATGGGGGCAGTCCTTTCCCGTCACCACAGCTTTGATATCTGCCACCGGCACTGCAATTCATAAAAGGAAATGAAAATAACTACACCATTGAACATTTCAGTGTCAATAAAGAAGCAGGACTCCGCGTCTGCTACCAGTTACCATCCCCAGGAACCACCACAAAAAGAAAATAGTGGTGCAAAGAGGAAGAGAAGTCAGGCAGTCTTAGGAGTAGAAACTAAACTAGAGATGGTCTCTGACTAAAGATGGTTTGACTTTACAATGGTACAAAAGGGATATGCATTCAGTAGAAACCACACATTGAATTCTGAATTTTGGTCTTTTACTCCACGCTAGCGACATGCAGTATGATCCTGTCTCAGATGCAGGGCAGTGGAAGTGAGCGCAGCTCCCAGTCAACCATGACATCATGAGAGGAAACAGGTATTCTATGGTGTACCTTGTTGTTAAGCTGTGACGTTTTCTAGGTTAGGTGTGGTAAATGTATTTTTAAAAATTTATTTATTTTTTATTTTTATTTTTTTGACAAGCAGAGTTAGACAGTGAGAGAGAGAGAGAGAGAGAAAGGTCTTCTTTTTTCTTTTGGTTCACCCCCCAAATGGCCACTATGGCCAGCGTGCTGCGCCGATCTGAAGCCAGGAGCCAGGCGCTTCCTCCTGGTCTCCCACGCGGGTGCAGGGCCCAAGCACTTGGGCCATCCTCCACTGCACTCCCGGGCCACAGCAGAGAGCTGGACTGGAAGAGGAGCAACCGGGACAGAATCTGGCGTCCCAACTGGGACTAGAACCTGGGGTGCCGGCACCACAGGTGGAGGATTAGTCTAGTGAGCCGCGGCGCCAGCCTGTATTTTTGTTTTAAAACATACTTTCAGCTTATGATCAGTTTATTTGGCCATGACCATATGAGAAACATTCTTATATTTTGGCAAAAAAAAAAAAAAATCCTTGGAGAGAAAGAGCTATGTCTATAAGCAGTTTATTTAATTAAAACAAAGATCTAAAGAAAATCTATATAATATTGTTGGGAGTGATGCATTAGAAGTAACAGCAGGTAACAGTGACAGTAATAGTAACAGTGATATTAATAATGCCATTACAAAGGGATTGTTTGTGCCAGGAGGAATGCCAAGTGGTGTACACACACCAGTGACTCTCACTTCAGCATCTACATGTATTTAGTTTCTCAGTTTTGGATAAGTAAGGAAAAACAGCCTTATCTCAAAAAATTTGTTTGACTCTAAACTGTTCTGATTTCATTCTCCAAAGTCTCTGCCATCTCATTAATTCTCACAATTCTGTGAAGCACATTCTATTATTACTATTTTACAGTTTTTAACTAAACAGTTAAATAAAGCACATTCTATTATTACTATTTTACAGTTTTTAACTAAACAGTTAAATAAAGGGAACCTTTCTTTCTGATAGGGGATTCTGAAAATAATGCAGTTAGATAAAATGATGTTATCTTTTGTCTTAGGAATTGGAAGAAGATGAGAAACAATATGGAAAGGTTTAAAACTTTTGTTAGAATCAACTGAGAGGGGATTGGTGCCGCGGCTCACTAGGCTAATCCTCTGCCTGCAGCGCCAGCATCCTGGGTTCTAATCCTGGTTGGGGCACCGGATTTTGTCCCGGTTGCTCCTCTTCCAGTCTAGCTCTCTGCTGTGGCCCGGGAAGGCAGTGGAAGATGGCCCAAGTGCTTGGGCCCTGCACCCGCATGGGACACCAGGAAGAAACACCTGGCTCCTGGCTTCAGATCAGCGCAGTGCACTGGCCATAGCCAGTGGTGTTTAGAACAAGAAACAAGCAGTCCCATTTCATGTTGTGTCCCACGCCATAGACCACAACACGTGTCTGAATCTCCTCCCTCTACATGGCCACAATTTGCATTTCTAATCATTTTAGGAAATTCTTACACAGGGTTGGGGGTTGGGAGCCGGGAGAGCGCTATCTCTCATCTGCTGGATGGGGCCTGGGCCAGGGCTATGGCCATTTGTGGGGTGAACCAGCGGAAGAAAGACCTTTCTCTCTCTCTCACTAACTTTGTCTGTCAAAAAAAAAAAAGAATCAACTGAGAGAATGAGAGCAAGAGAGAGACAGAAGGCAGTAGGAGAAATTTAGTAGTTGGAAATTTAACTTCAAAAAATGCAAAGTCATCTATCTATCTCTGATTCCCAATCCTTAAATCCCATGTGGGATTATGAATCTAGGAGCATATGCAGGCTGACTTGGTTTTATCAAGGGTAGGAATTTAGGATTGTGGAAAATTTCAATAATAAATTCCTTAGGCTCTCTGAATGATGAATATAATTAGAGATTTCATAGTTACTTCACATAATTTTACTGGGGAATTGGGTTGTAGGTGTGATGAAGATTAAATTGATAGAATGTTAAAGTTATAGAACTGTAAACCCTTTAAAAGCTAAAATTTCCCAGACACTCTAAAATTTCTAAGAATATATTGATAGCCATAGAGTTCTTTGTAACCCTAAGAGAAGGGCTGTGCCGAGTGCTTCTAGGAATTTCTACAGGCTCCCCCACTGCCTGTCTAACACCTGCCCCTCCATTCTGCAGTTCTGATTCTAGACTGCTTTGGTGGGCATTATGCATGCTAAGGAATACCTTGCTTTCTTTTCCTGCCCTCATGATAGATTCCAGCAAACTGTGCAGTTAGGTGCGGTCATGTGAGTGATTCTGGCCAATGGCATGTGTGAGGAAGTGGTGTGCCTCTTTTTCTGCAGAGAGCAAGTTCAAAGTCCACATCCTCTATTGCCTCTCACCCCAGACGCAGAAACTGAAGGAGGCATATGTTGTATGCAGATGGCACGGCTGTGGATGGCAAAGCAGTCACTAGCCTGTGTCCTGAGTGACTGTGAGGAGCAGTCCTTTGCCAGCCCATGCAAGCTGCACAATGTTGGTGAGAAATAAACTTCTGTTGTGTTACGTCACTGAGCTCTTGGAGCTGGTCCTGGAGCACAGTAGTGCAGCATCTCCTGCCTGGTGTAAGCTTTCGCCTTAGACCCCCTTTCTGCCTTTCTTCCCCAGCCCATTTGGATTGGTGCCTTCCTGTACATGGTCGCTCTGACTCCTGAGCCAACCTTTGGCCAAGAACACTGACTTCTGTTCTCTGCAAATCCATTGTTTCATAACCTTACATCAGTCTCACCTCCCTTTTCAGCTGATCTGGCTGCCTGATCACCACCCAGGAGGGGACAATTGGACACTTTGGGAAGGTGGTTAACTTTTCAATGGAAAATCTACCATAAAGTGATTTTGTGTGATATAATTAGCAAAATCAATTAACAAACTCTTCAAGCTTCAAATGGAGTTTGAGTCACAGTTCCTTGTAGAAAGTCTTTTGTTTTAATATATTACAGAGCCAATGACCTATAGTGTCTACCAGGTACAAATCATAGGTTGCCCCTTGGCTTTGAAAACCCATCATGTGGAATTGGACAAGAGTAATAACAAAAGTCTGTCCTGGGGTCAGTCTTCAGATCTCTAATGGGAAGTCTTCAGGGAAGAAAAGGCGCTTTTCCACTGGGTTTTGTGGCAGTACGTATTTCATGTTTTTTATATGGATTGTGCTCTATCAGGGAGACGGGCTGCTGTATCGCTCATAGGATTATGACTAAAAAGAAATCCTAAAAATACAGTGTGGCTTTTAAAGGTTGCTTTTTTACATGGTTTGTCTCCAGATGCACTGGAAGATTAGGGGTGGAAAGGGCTAAAATGCCCCTGTAGTCCCAGCAGCAGGAACAGAGGGGTCAGAGGCACACCTCTTGAATCTACACTGTAAGGAGGCAGCAGGGGATCTTGATGGCTTCAAAGCCAAGCTAGTATTTTGATCAGTTATTTTTATGTTAGAGCAAGATAAAATTGTGGGGCCCACAGACAGCAGAATAATTGGGGAGGGGGCGTGACTAGTGAAGGAAGCTCTACCACCACTCTGACTTCCTGGGGCATGGCTTCATTCTATCAAATTTTTAGCTTGAGCTGGATTGAGATCATTTTAGTTCAACATTGCTATTTTACAGATGGAAACAATGAGGTTTAAAGAGCAAATACAAATTCTGCATGTTGGGGTCAGAGCTGGGATTAGTGCTTTTTTTCTTACTCTGTTTCCAGGCCACAATTTGGAAGGTGACAGCACCCCACATCATGTGGCGCACAGCCCCACATGTACTAGTCACTCTAGACATGCTCAGGAGGTTTTTGATCGCTAATGTCTGTGGAAGGAAATTTGTGATTTAAAACAGAAATCCTACTAAAAAAAGCAAAAGTAAAACGTGGGCACCATGATGAAACAGCTTTAGTGTTCACTAGTGGAAGCCGAAACCAGGCAGAAACCATCTGCAGGAAGTGGCCAGGAAGCCTTGAGCATTTGTTGTGTGCACAGCTCCACAGTAGAAGCTCTTGTGTGGAGCTATACAGAAGGGACAGGAAGATCTCAGGACAGCTGAGTGTGGAATTTCATCTTTCTAACCAGACAGGTCAGTCATGCAGCATGCAGTTGGAGGGCTATGCCTTTGGAATAGAGAGCTGAGGTTTGGATTCCAGATCTACCTACTGCTCTACCACTTTAGGCTTAAGTTCTCAGAGCCTCAGGTTACTTGCAAGCAATGAGTAGCTATAACACTATCCATCTGCAAGGATTTTTCTGCAAATTAACTTCTAATGCTGGAACCAAGCAATTGTTGACTTCAAAAATATTTTAAATTTATTTATTTGAGAGATAGAGACTAGGGGAGACAGACATACAGAGAGAACGTGCTACTCCCAACTGGTGATTCACTCTCCAAATGCCTGCTATGGCTGAGGCTGGGCCAGGACCAAAGTTGAGAACCCCATGATTGGCAGGAATCCAATCACTTGAGCCTTCCAGGGTCTGCATTTGTCAGAAGCTGGAGTCAAGGCCCAGAGCCAAGAATTAAAGCCAGGTACTTTGATTTGGGATACAGCCATCCTAACCAGTGCCTTAAATGCTAGGGCAAAAGCCTGTCCAGTGGGTAAAAATCTCGGCCATGGCGTTGAATAGCTGCATTCAAATCTTTGTTCCAATTACTAACCTGTGACCTTGAACAAGTTATTTACTTTTCCTATACCTCAGTTTCCTTGTCTGTAAAAGAAGGGTACTAACATCTACTTTGGTTTGTCAAGAAGATAACTTATATAATGCTCTTAGCATAGGGCCTGGCATATTTTATGCTCACAATGTCATTTGTTATTTTGAAGATACTTCAAAAAATCAGCACAAAGTGGAATTCAAAACTAAATTTATTTTGGTGCAATAAATCTTGAAATGCATGCACACTTCCTTCATAAAATGCATTTTCCATGAACTTTTTGATGACCCTTCTTCTAGTTGATTCCCTGTAGATGGAAGGATGCAGATTTTTGCACTGTGCTTCAATGACCCAAATCGCCCCTTTGCCTCGCTGTGTCAGCTGTTCTCTCATCTCTGTGAGAAGCTTAATCTCCTTATGGAGGCGTGGGTGAGCCTCTGCTTCCCTCCCAGTCCCTTTGATGTGGGATGGAGAGGCGCTGGCCTAGATTCTTTCAAAGGGCGACAGTCATGGGCCTGAGGCGTGGCTATGAAGCAATGGAGCCTTGTGTGTAGTGGGAGCAAGCACAGCCTGTAAACCCAGTGGGAGAGATGCAGAGTGAGCCATGGGTTTTTAAGGGTTCTATTTCCTCACAAACAAAAGGAATATGAGAAGAGGGGTTTCCTAAACTTTGAGAGAAGACAGCTAAAAGAGGCCCTCGGTCTTCACTTGCACTGGTTGTGTTAAGAGGATTCAGTTCCACTCTTTGATTCATCAATATCTCAATATTCACTCCTGATTAACCCAAGGGGTGGAAGACAATTTTCCCTTTGGTCTCAAGAGAGGGCACTTGTACGTGGCAACGGAAATGGCACTCAACATTAATTAAAGGGACATCTCATTTTTCTAGTGGAATGAGGTTTCTGACTTAAGAAAGAGCTCCATGAGGATGGGTATTCTTGCAGAATTGAAATGAAATGCAAATCAGGCATATTTGTTTGAAATGTTTGTTTGAAAACTGGTTTGAAGCAGCAAATGTATTTCCTAGGTCTAGGCCATCTCATTTCAAGCACAGTGTGGCTTCTTTTCACTTGTTTACATGAATGTACTGTCTTTTCTGGCACACATGTGCAGACAGATACACTCTCACTTATGCACAGGTACACAGACTCTCGTTCCATATGCACACACTTACAGAAGTATTTATTTTGGCTTCTCTGGCAATGGGCACACTGTGTATGGAGCGGCTCTTTGGGATTTTGCATTAATAATTTCAAAGGCCACAAAGGAAAGGACTGGACAAGAGTTTTGGAGGCAGTGAGTGTCACAAGGGACCACTCAACCTGCTCCAAGTATCAGGGTCACTCTTTGGTCACTACCAACGCTGTGTGGAGACTGGCAGCTCTGGCCTTGCTCCTCTTCAATCACCCTGCTAAGCCATCTCTCAGTACTGCTCAGTCCTACCTGCCTGTTTTCAGCTTGGGTTTTTGGCAGTTGGGGGAACTGGTTGGGTTGGGAGGTACTGGATTGTGAGCAGCCCAGGAACTACCCCTAGAAGGCTTGACTGCTATCCATGCGCTTGAACCTCTATAGGAGCAAGGCTACCAATTTCCTAAATTATCTGGCCAGCTAGAATCAGGGTGCTGCCTCTTATAACTGGCAACACTGCCAATCAAATGCCTACCTTTGGGTTGAAAAGTGGATTATATGTCTATCAGTATGGGGCTATTTAACGCATGTGCAGTGAGAGCACTGGTTCACTGGGCCGGCTGGGGAGGAACGAAGCAAGCCATCGAGCTGTGTGTTTCCTGTCCAGAGCCTTTTTCCTGCCTCTTGGTCAGGGAAGTGAAGAAGAGGCTGCTTGTTCTGACCAAGAGTAACCTCTAACTCTTCTCATGTAACCACTGGAGAGCGGTGAATCTGCATGGAGAGCCCCAGGACACTTCTTAGCTTTCCAGAGAGTTTTCACTTGAAAGTTTCCACCAATTAACAGCATGCGAAGTAAGATAAGGACACAGTGTGAGTTCTTCGTAGAGCTCACTCAATTCAGCAGAAGGAACTGTCATGTACTCCAAGATTAGGTTCTTCTTATCTTTAATTCTTATGATCAAAGACCCTTCTTCTATGAACAATTTGTAACTTTAAATTTCAGAGTCTGTTTTTTTCACATCCATTTTTTTAGCCAAAATTAAAAGTTGGCAATGCATTATCAATTCATAACATCGTTTTTTTTTTTTTTTTAAACTGCTTATTGGTAAAAGACACATTTGGGGCATCTACATGGAGTGTCATGCAGTTGTCCAACTTGAGTGAGCATCAGAACTGCCTGGAGGTTGTGAAAACAGACACTGCTGGTGCCCAAGCTCAGAGTTTGACTCAGCAGGTCTGGGCATGGGATCTGAGGGTTTGCATCTCTATCCAGCTCCCACGTGACACTGCTGCTGATGGTCTGTGGACCACACTTGAGAAGAGAACCATTGGTCTATCTTGCCCAGGGTGGGAAGCGGTGGGCTCTCTCCATCTCCTATCTACAGGCAAAACCCGAGGCCTCCCACAACAGGGGCACAAAATCCTGTGCCTGACTCTGCAGTGGTGGATGTGATTGGTCCCCCCTCCACTTATGGTGCCAGCAATGAGGGCTGGGGAGGCAGTTTCTCTATGCCCGAAACGAGAGGCTGCTTTCTGAACTAAATGACACTACAAAGACCAGCTTATCCCATTTTTAAACTGGAGGAAGGGAGAATGTTCCAGGCTGTCTGCCTGAGATGTCAGAACAGAAGCTGAATGTCAGGAAATTTCCCACTCATGGTTTATTTTCGCCTTAGATGGCCTTGAGCTGTGAGGAAAGCAGTCCAAATTCGAATTCCACGGGCCCTGGGGTGACAGGAGAGAAGGTGTGGGACTCAGGGGTCAGGACAGTCTAGGACACGCTTCTCTGAACAGTGCAGGTCAATGTCACTTTCAAGGTTACATACAAGTGTCCTAACTGCCTTTTCCCTCTGTGCTTTCTCCACCTGGGGTATCCTCGGAGGTTTCAGTCACTTTGTCTCATTTGTTTTCCAAATCAATTCATCACACTTGCTCATTTCAGTGTTTCTATAGTACTTTGTTTAATGTAATATTTAACCCTGAACCTGGCATTTGGTATACTGTTAGGCTAAAAGAATCCTGCACATTACTGCCTCTTCTTCAAAAGCACAGATGTTAAAATATACAACACACAGAAGATGCAAATAAACATACATAGTATGTATTTTGGGAATTTTTAGTGAATAATAGGGTATAATTGATCATAGAGTTTTCAAAGCATCTGAGTTACTCTTTAAGGTAAGTCCGTCATCTGGGTCTGCCATTAATCTGGATTATAATTATGGGATATACTACACCCTAATGAATAAACATGATAGGGGTTAAGCATGTAAGTTATATAAAATTATTTTAGGTCATTAAAAAAGATGATTGACTGAATCGGGTTTATGTTGTTTTTGCTCCTTGAAATAGCACCTGTGTATATAATGTAAAAGTGCATGTTGGGGGTGGGTGTTGTGGTTCACCAAGTTAAGCCACCACTTGGGAGGCCTATGTCCCATCTCCTGCATCCCTAATACAGTTTCCTGCTAATGTGCCTTGCAGCAGATAATGGCTTAAGTATCTGGGTTTCTGACACCCACAAGGGAGATCTTGATGGAGTTCCTGGCTCCTGGCTTCAACGTGGCCTAGCCCTAAATGTCTACAACAATCAGTGGATGGAGTAGATGGAAGACCTCTCTCCCTTTCTGAAACTCCCTCTCCCCGTCACCCTGCCTTTTAAATAAATAAATAAATGCATAAACAAACATTAAACCCATTTTTTGAAAGTGGATATTGGTGTTTCAATGTTGCAAGTTTCAGGAATGATATCTGAACATCTTTTGATGCTATCTTCTGTTAGTCCCAAACAAGGTCTTATACTTGATTAGGATGCTCAGGCCAAGACTATACATAAAAAGAGACACTGTCGAAGGTTTATTTGGACTATTAGTGAACATATTTTTAATTGATCCATATTTGAGGAGAGAGAGAGAGAGAAAGAAGAGGGGGATAGAGATATCTTCTATAGGCGGGCTCATTCCCCAAATGCCTACAAGATCCAGTGCTGGACCAGGTTGAAATTAAGGAGCCAAAACTCAATCCAGCTTTTCCAAAAGGCTTGGCAGAGATCCAACTCCCTGAGTCATTATTTGCTGCCTCCCAGGGTCTGCATTAGCAGGAAGCTGGAATTGGGAGCAGAGCTGGGATTCAAACCTAGACACTCCAATATGGGATGCAGACATCTCAAGTGACATCTTAACCACTAAGCCAAGTGCCTGCCTCTAGACTGACAGATTTGGGGCATGATACATTGTGACTAGGACAGAAGCAACCAAGCAAACCTCAGGTTTTCTATGGAAGAGGCACTTACGTTTGTCCTGCAAAGAATCATGGGGCACTTCTCCCTGTGGACTTTCTTCCAGATCTCCATAATGCAGGACCTTGTGATTTGGTGAAAGCCGACAATACCAGAACTTGTCTGAGGGAAAAAACACAAGATGACGAGATAAGCAAGTCTGGATTCCAAAACACCAACCTGATTAATTCTTAATTCTTTGCAAAGCAAGAGCTTCATTTGATTTTAAGTCTTATGGAAGCATGAATTTGAGGGCCCAAGAGTAAACTCCACTTTGATTCTGATATTAGTTATCCCTCTCCTGTTTGGTATACCTTTGGAGACCATCAGGAAAGTCTTCTATTCCTTTAAGCTCAATGGCAGTAGGCCTTCTGGGAGGGGTCTATAGATGGTACACTATCAGGAACTCTATTAGTTCCACTTTCTACGATGCACACAGCACTCTACTGTCATTAGCATGGAAGGCAGACAAAGTCAGGAACTCTAGGAATAGCGTCTGCCTTTGTTCTTGATGACACTAACAGAAAGATGGCGGAAACACTTGCTGCTTAGCTCTGGGCAGTGGGAGTGGGGACATTCCTTCTGGCTGGGAAACTGGGCACAAGAAATGCTTCTTGTGCAACATCTTACACTCACAAATATTAGAGATCAGAACATTCACAAAATATTTATCAAGACACCAGGAGGCAAAACAACCACTTTTCTTGCAGTGTTGGCATGGATGTTCGTTTAAAGGAAACATGAAAGGCTGCCTGGAGCTCTGTCGTATCTGTGTGGTGTGCAGATGCTGTAATTTTCTCTTTTCAGAAGTGTAAATGCCCTTGACTTACATGACACCACCCTCCTCTGGGTTTTCTTCTACCTCTGGCTAATTCTTTACTTACCCTATCCAAGTTCCTCTTTCTCTGTCTTCTATCAGAAGGTGTAAGTGAGCTGGTTAGCTTGTCCACATAGAAGAAGAAGCCCTGGATAGGTTACCAAGTATGGGAAGAAGGAGCTGAAAAGACCCAGAAGCGGGTTTTGATTTGTAAGCAAGTAGGGGGAAGCTCAGCCAGTATTCTCCTCAGGGTAAAAGCTGCAGTCTTTAGCTCTGGAAGGTCTATAGATTGTATAGTTTTTTTAAAAAAAATTTATTTGTAGGGGCCGGCGCCGTGGCTCACTTGGCTATTCCTCTGCCTGCAGCGCCGGCATCCCATATGGGCACCGGGTTCTAGTCCCAGTTGCTCCTCTTCCAGTCCAGCTCTCTGCTGTGGCTCAGGAAGGCAGTGGAGGATGGCCCAAGTGCTTGGGCCCTGCACCCGCATGGGAGACCAGGAGGAAGCACCTGGCTCCAGTCTTCGGATTAGCACAGCGCCGGCTGTGGTGGCCATTTGGGGGGGTGAACCAAGAAAGACCTCTTTCTCTCTCTCTCTCTCTCACTGTCTAACTCCATCTGTCAATAATAATAAAAAATATTTGTTTTCATCTTATTTGAGAGAGAGAGAGAGAAGAAGAGAGAGAGAGAGACAGAGAGACAGAGAGAGACAGAGATCTTCCATCCTCTGGTTCACTCCCACATCCCCCAGTAGCCAGGGCTGGGCGCCAGACCAAAGTCAGGAGCCCGAAACTCAATCTGATTCTCCCATGTGGGTGGCAGAAACCCAAGTATACTTCAACCATCACCTCCTACCTCCCCAAATGTATAGCAGCAGGAAGTTGGATCCGAAGTTATACCAGGGCTGGAATCCAGCATTCTGATATGGGCTGAGGCTGTCCCAAGTGGTGCTGTAACTGCTGCACCAGACCCCCATGCCTGTGTTGTGGGTTTTCGACATGAAGGGAGAGAGGCTATGAAGGAGAGCACGGCTGCCAGCCCTGCCCAACCAGCCCACTGACACATGGGGTAAAGCAGCGTCAACATCAGCTTGCTTTTCAGTTTCTATTACGGTAAGAAAAATGTGGATTTTTCTTTCAAAACCCAGCATGACGTTGCTAGTTCCTTATGCCCTCTGGGCAATGAAGGAGTGGATTGCGTCACCAAAAGCAATTAACAGGAAGCAGTGAGAAATTATCAAAGATTGATTACCAGCATTTAAAGAGAAAATAAGAATTAATAAGGAGGTCTTCCAGTCATTTATAAGTGAAAATACTATAATGGTCATCTTTTAATGCCCAAACTCAAAAACTGAAAATAGGGAGACAATTCTGTGCTTTTATCTCTCCCTCCCTTCATCCCTTTCCCTCTCTCTCTCTCTTTCTCTCTCTCTCTGTAGGATCAGAAGAAAAAGCTAGTTCAAAACTCCAAGGCTGGTAAGATTAAATCTATTTCCAAAGTCACATGCAAATGTTTTTATGGTACTAATAACCTCCCACAACTGTAATTCTTGCATCCCTGTACAACATAACTTTCTGCAACAATGGAAACTCTCTATATCTCTATACAATTATACAGCAACACTTCTAAAATTTCCTTCATTTTAGTTAAGTAAGCCATAGAGAGCCGGCCCCCAGGCCTTCAGAGGAGACAGACAGCCCGAGTAACAGCGACTGTTGCTGATTGTGAAAGGCTGGTCATTTAGGGAGGCACAGGGCACAGCAGGAACCCAGGCTTGATCAACTCTGCCATGAAATCAGGGGCCATCTTTGTCTGACGGCAGAGCCTGCAGCTGGAGCTGGCTGTCAACCCACAGGGCCCTGGAGTCCTGTGATAGGAAGGCAGGACAGCTTTTGAAAACGGTGTCATTAAAACAATGTTATTAGGATTTCAGTTTCTTCCTAGGTTAAATGAACATGTGTCAAGTCTTCAATGAGGTCATAAGTCTGCTTCCGCCTAAGATCCAACACATCCAAATAAACAGATCCAAACAGAGGGTTGAGAACTGTGTTTAAAGGGAAATGCCACCTTCCAGATGATGAGATGCAAGATCTCTGTGGTCCAGTAAAGTGAATTAACAATGACAGATACAGACGAAGGTCATTCCGCCTTTCAAATCTTCCTCAGTTCACTGGGTAGTCTTCAAAACAAGACAATCATGTTTGATTCCTGAGTTCTGTCTCCCTGGAGACAGCTGTCTCCTTTCACAGCACATGACTCCAGAGCTCAGACCTCCAAAGATGATTTGACATAACAGATGTCCTGGAGTCACACAGATCTGAGTTACACACCCGGCCCTCACACCTATTAGCTGTGGACTTTGGCCAAATAATAGAAAGTTTAGGGATCCCTGGTCTCCACTCATCAAGCAACAGTTATAATTATATGAGCTGTATAGATCCCATCACACTTCTTTCAGAGGGCTGCCTATCTATAAATATTCATTCCTTCTTGATTTCCACTGAATGGAGAACCCGCTTATCCATGCTACTGGTTCCAGTACCTTTGGTGAACAATGATTATCTGTTATTTTTATCTATTGCATAATACACTCTCCCCCCCCAGAAATGAACTGACTTCTTCATTTGAAAAATGTGCATTTATTTCTATTTGCCTTTTTGTAGAAATAAATTATGATTAGGGTTCATGAAATATGAAAAGACAATTTCAACAAAGGAGAGAGAAAGAGCGAGCCTGCTCCCCAGAGTTTATTTGGCTACTCTGCCTGGATATCCTGCGAGGATCTAGGTTTCTTGACTCGTCCACAAAAGCAATGGGGGCACAGAGGTCTTGCTGGAAGAAGGAGAGAAGCATGACTATTCCTCAGAGCAGACAGGTTTTACCCAGCACAGAGTCCCAGAACAAATCTGTTATGTGCACATTTAGGTAGCAGGTGCTGCTCCATGGACTGGGCCACGTGCTCAACAAGAAGCAAAGTTTCAGTTTACTCTTTCTCAAAACGACACTCCAGAGGACAGCCCTGGGTGCTTATTGAGACCATTCATTGCAAGTGATTCTGAGAAGTCTCACTAATCTCGGAGACGCAAGGGAAGTGTGACTCAAGTTCTTGACTCCGCAGCCATACTGAATGGGAAAAATGGACAGCATCTCCTCTCAGATTTGGAACAAGACAAGGACCTCCACTTGCACCACTCTTATTCAATACAGTTCCAGAAGTTTTAGTAAGAGCAATGAGGGAGAGAAAGAAATAAAGGGCATCAAAATTAGAAAAGAGGAAGTCAAATTATTCAAGTTTGCAGAGGACATGGAAAAACCTAAAACACTCCACCCAAAAGCTGTTTGAACTGATAAACCAATTCAATAAATTTGCAAGTTACAAAATAAAGATACAAAAAATAGTAGTTTGATGAATATATAAAAAGAGAAATTAAGAAAGAAATCCCATTTACAATAGCCGCACACAACAAACAAATACTTAGGAATAAATTTAACCAAAGAAGTGAAAGAGCTCTATAATGATAATTATCAAACACTGATGAAATAAATTTTCAAGGACACAACAAAATGAATATTCCTTGCTCATGGGTTGGAAGAATCAATATAATCAAATGTCTGTATTTCCTAAAAGAATTTACAGATTCAATGCAATCGTTATCAAAATACCAATGGCATTCTTTACAAAGTTAGGGGGAAAATTCTAAAATTCATATGAATCACAAAAGACCCAAATAACCAAAGTGATCCTGAGCAATAAAAACCAAGCTGGAGACATCTTAATACCTGATTTCAAAGCATACTACAAAGCTATAGTAATTCAAACAGCTTGGTACTAGCATAAAAACCATTACAATGGCACTGAATAGAGAGCCCAGAAATTAGTCCACACATATACAGCCAACTGATTTTGACAAAAGTGCTTAGACCATACAGTGGGGTAAGTATAATCTCTTCAACAAATGGTGCTGGCAAAACTGGATGCATATATGTAGAAGAATGAAATTAGATCCATACCTCTCACCATATAAAAAGAATCAACTGAAGGGAGAACAAAGACCTAAATTTAAGACCTAAAATTATGACGTTGTTGGAAGAAAACGTAGGGAAAACACTTTAAGACACTGGCGTGGAGAGCTTGCACTGTGGCACAGTGGGTAAAGCCACTGCCGACAGTGCCAGCATTCCATATGGACACCAGTTTGAGTCCTGGCTGCTCCACTTCAGGTCACGCTCTCTGCTGTGGCCTGGGGCAACACCGGAAGATGGCCTGCATCCATGTGGGGACCCAAAAGAAGCTCGTGGCTCCTGGCTT